CAATGTGCAAATACAGGAATTCATTTTGGCTGGCCCAAACTCAAGAGCCATGAGGGTGTATTTCTGAAACAAAACACTGGCTTTATCTGGCATGCACTTGGGTGTGCTGCTTGAGTGGATGGTCTCAGACAGAACCAAAATGTGTCCTACAAAAATGGCCTGGGAATGACCCTGAAGTCCTCTTTGGCAATAGGGTGGCCAAATGGCTGTGACCCCGTGAAGCTGCAGTTTGCAGAACAGCACATCCAAGTGCCCTGGGTCACACAGTTCAGCCACGTCTCGCTGCTGCTGGCACATGACATGGGTCACGTTCAGAAGGCTCCCAGCTGGAAGGAGCCACTGCTCCCCTTCCCTCAGAGACACCCTCTGCCCACATGCAGGGCAAAGCACCCTCCACTCACCTGCCATGGGCACTGGCCAGGAAGACACTCATCCCCACCAACTATCCTGGTATCAACATACGGAGTCTTGCTGCTGGTTCTGTTGTCAGGTGCAGGCGTTGGGCTTTCTGTGGTAATTGCAAAGTACTCCTCTGTGCTCATTTCATTTGCAGCAGGGTCTTCTTGATCACTCATTCTACTGCTATGGTCAGTGGGTGAAAGAACAGACCTTTTTTTCCTCACCACAGAAACTTTTCCACAAGGGTATTTTACTGTAAAGAGAAGAACGCTAAAATTAAAGGTGGAGGGAAACACCAACACAAGAAGAAACTCCTTGGAAATACCATCTCACAATATATAGTGCTTCTTCCTCATTTTCCAGACAATACAAAAGACTTGGCACATGGAACCAAGGAAGAAAGACCATATGGTTTGAATAATGAGTGGTATTTTCTCATCATGAAGGCTCTCCTTCAGCTTCCATCTCACAATCATGTTTTGAAAGTATCTAAAATTTAATGCACCATCTTCAATTTGTTTTTAACAAATTTAATACATCATATTCAATTATTTACTTTGATATATTCATGTAATTCCTCTTAATAAAATGTACTTAATTTGGGAACTGAGTGAAATGATTTATTTTAGGAATAATACGGCCAATGACAGCAATTTGTTATTAGTTCTAAAGTATATAAAACCTGACATGATATCTAAATGGTTGACTCACCCCTCCCCTGTGGCACTTTGAAATACAATACAATTGTACATATGTGCATAGTGCTAATCATAATTATCCAATCGCTTCGATTACAAATTGATAAGGTTCACTGCAATTTAAGTATAAATTTTTGCAAGCTGCCCTTTCATACGACCTATAAGTGTTTAAGCAAAGATCCTGCTGTGATCATTTTTCTCAGCATGGCCTCACCTTGAGTCTCGTGTACAGTTTTTGGCATCTAAATATAAGAAAGATATAAAGCTCTTAAAGAGCATCCAAACGAGGGCAACAGAGATGGTGAAGGGCCTTGAGGGGAAGCCATATGAGGAGTGGCTGAGGTCACTTGGTCTGTTCAGCCTGGAGGAGACTGAGGGGAGACCTCATTGTGGTCTGCCACTTTCTCCTGAGGGGAAGAGGAGGGGCAGGCGCTGATCTCTTCTCTGTGGTGACCAGGGCATCACACAATCCTTTAGGTTGTAAAAGACCTCCAAGATCATTGAACTCAACCTTTGACAGATTAGCACCTTGTTAATCAGACCATAGCTCTAAGTGCCACATTCATTTCTTTCTTGAAAACCTCCAGGCATGGTGACCCCACCACTACCCTTGGCAGTCCATCCCAGTGCTGGACAGCCCTTTCCATGAAGAAACCCGAGAGAATGGCAGGAAGCTGTGTCAGGGGAGGTTTAGGTTTGATATTAGAAAAAGGTTCTTCACACGGAGGGTGGTTGGGCATTTGAATAGGTTCCCCAGGGAAGTAGTCAAGGTTCCATGCCCGACAGAGTTCAAGAAATGTTTGGACAGCACTTTCAGGCATGGAGTTATTCTTGGGGTAGTCTAGTAATACACCAGGAGTTGGATATTGATGATTGTTGAGGATTCCTTTCAAAACAGGATATTCTGTGATTCAATGATTTTTTATTATTTTGTTAACAGAATTTACTCTGACATGTCTCACTAGGCAGCAATTTGCAAAGGGTTCAAAATCACCTAGATTTTGATTCACTCCATCACAGCATCTCACAAATGGAAGGCTTTGGAAATACAAATTTCCTGGCCTCACTGTTGGGTCTATGTCTTGTGGGATACTAGTGGTTCAAAAGACATTCCTCAACTGTAAATCAAGTCTGTAACTGCAAAGCTTAATGGTGAAACAAGTCTCACCACCACTGCTATTGCTTTATCACGTGGCTTCGTACCTGAGTGGTTCAAAAGACATTCCTCAACTGTAAATCAAGTCTGTAACTGCAAAGCTTAATGGTGAAACAAGTCTCACCACCACTGCTATTGCTTTATCACGTGGCTTCGTACCTGCTGCAACACAGTGCTTGCCATCCTCTGCTAGAAGGTACCCATCTGCACAGGAACACAGCACATCCTTCCGCCCATCTCTTCGGACGCTGCAGAACTGCTCACAGTCCCCGTTGTTTATTCTGCAGAACTTTGGTATGACTACAAAAGAGATGTGGCAGAAAAACTGTACATAAACACTGACTTCACAGAAGATCTGGAACTTCTCTGAAACAAAACACACTCCTCAAACAGGATCTGTGTCCCCACCTGCCAAGCACCTGAAGCACTCTTCAGGAATAACTAATGTCAGTGCTGAACATCAGCTTGTGCCTTACAAAGCAGCCACATCCAGCACAACAAATCTACTTGCCAAGTCCGAGTGGGCCCAGTGGCCGTGGCATGGTGAGCTCAAAAAGCAGAGACAACTTGTCAGGGGAACAGTGAACAAAACACTAACAGAGAACATCACTGTGTGAATCCTCACACAATTCCTCCCTCCTGCCCTAAAAACTCCAACTCCTCATCACTCCCCTCAATCCTCTGACTGAACCTCAGTTTCACACTCCTGCTCTTACTGCTGGGCTAATGATACCCTCTCCCATGCCAAGGTCACGGGGGCAGCTCTATGCCACAGAAGTGAGCCCCAGGAAGGATTTCCATGCAAAACATCCTTCCTTACAAGTTCGCCACCACAGTTCTCTAAAGCAGAAACTTACCAAATTCACAGTTCTTGCCTTGATAACCATCCAAGCATGTGCAAGTGTAGGAACCAAGTCCATCTTTACAGTGGCCACCATAGTGACAAGGATTTGAACTGCACTGGTTCCCATCTAGAAAAAGAAACCAAAACCCAAATTATTGTAAGTGTGCAAGCATTTTCAGTGAACTCAGAAGGGCTCTTAGTTTTCTTAAGCCATCTTTCATCCTTCCTTTCAAAATATATGTCCTGTGAGTTGCCACATTCCAGATGGAACAAACAGTATAAATGCAATCATTCCAAACCTGCAATGATTCATCTACATATTCCCAGTTTTGCAATCTCTTTTTGGTGCCCACTGTATTATGATGTGCACACAAG